GAGGCGGCTGCGGGTGTTCTTGCTGCAGCAGGCCGCTGGGTTGGGTGGTCTCTGGAGGTCCCTCCCAACCTCGGCTGCCCCGTGTTCCTGTGAACGGTGTGATTTTGAGGGATCTCGAGCTTTGCATCAGCCCACTGCCTCTCACAGGGCAGCTTCGGCTGTTACGAGGCGCTTTTGTGGTGCCAGCTACAAACTAAATGATGGCAGTGAATTGTGAATCACAGAATGCTGGACAGGGCCTTCGGAGATCACCGTGTTTAAACCCTGCGCTTAGGTCAGCTTGCCCAGGACCGTGCCGAGCTTCTGGATGTGTCCTGGAACAGGGAAGCTGTGTCTTCTCTGGGCAGCGTGCCAGTCTGCAGAACCCTGTCCTCACCAGGCCCAAGCCGAGGACAGGATCCCCTCCGTTGGCCTGCAGTGCTCCTGCTAGGACTGTGCAGGATCCCGTTTTGCCATGAGGAGGTGTTGGGAACCAGCATCCAGCTCGTCCCCCAGAGCCCTTGTGCAGAACCCCTCGGCAGCAGGTCAGCCACGGCCCATGCAGTGTATGGGATGATTCAGCCACCCTTTGGCCCCTCTGCGTCCTCTTGCCATCCTTGGATGCCACCCTGTGTCACGTGCTCTGGGTGTCCCTGCTGGAGCAGAGCGGTTGAACTAGATGATCTCTAGAGGTTCTCTAGATCTAGAGGATCTCTCACCCATTCTGTGCTTCTGAGTTTGCACCAGAGCCTGGTACGGAGGGTTGAAGGACCTGCTGGAGTCGAGGTAGAGAACGTCACTGCTCGGCAGTGCGGCACCTGCCACACCAGCTACGCCGTAAGTGAGACTGAAACACGTTAGAACAAGTTCATTCAGGGGGCAATGGGTGCTCTTGAAAATACATACCTCTTGTCTGAACCCTGTGCCAAGTTTAAACAACACTCCTACAACAGGCTTTTCAATCTGAAACAGTTGCTGATTTGGAGAAGCAGAGGGCCTGTCTTGTTACAGGGCATTTTGCAGAAGAGATGGGGGAAGAGATGACTTGGATCAACAGGTTATTAAGCTCATTTGTTGATACCGAACTGCCTGCTGCAAATTAGTTTTGTGCGTGAAAAATCATTACTGAAAAATTAAGAGTTGCCAGGTAATCCATTTGTTCAGTATGTATCTATGCCACATGGTCCATTGAAAACATTGGGTAACTCAGAGTTAAAATGTTTGTGTTCCATTCCTAGATTTTGATAAATGTCACAGAACTTCTCAAAAAAAAAAAAAAGTCACCTTAGCTGCATAGTCCCTGATTTTCTCATGTTGGAATTGTCCTTTTTTTTTTTTTTTCCCCAAGTTAGATTTTTCCCTGAAGGGACTCAACAGTCAATGGACAATCTCAGGAATATACAGTTGTATGAGGACTTCCCTGTAGGCCTAAAAAAATAGTATTCTTTAGAATCTTTAAATAAATAAAATTATTTAGAATCTTTAAATACTTTGGTATAAAAAATTTACACAAAATAAATGTTTTGTAAGGTGAATTTGCACATCACACTGGGTTTTGCATTAGGTTTTTACCTGCCGCTGTGGTGCTTGTGGTTCAAAGATCAAGTATTTTCTTATGGAACTTGCTAAAGATTAATAAAAATGAATGTTAAAAAATCTTCTAATGAAGCTAGAACCAAGGTAGGGTAAAATTGACTTTTGTATAAAAGCACATTCCACGAACATAATTAAAATAATTGTTAGAAACTCCATGATACTCTGATGTTGTTAAACTTGCTGAAAAGCTTAACATCATTTTTCACTAGTGCTTTGGTGTTCAGTTCAAATAATTAAAGAAGAAAAAGAGCAAACAGTTTTCCCTTTAAGCAACAAATAGGTCATATGTGTATTCTGGACTTTCTCATACCTTTCAAACCCTTCTAGCACTATGTTTTTAACATTAATGGCATATAGTTGCAACCAGAATTATGCCTCTCTGAAATTTACCACACATATGCGTATGTTGTTTGGAAACAGGCCTCTGGAAGGACAAAACAGTTTCTCATGTGAGCTGTTAGCCTGTGGGCCTAGAAAGCAAGAAAGCAGACAGAAGATGAGCCCTACGTATGAGCAGATTCTCTGAAGAGCTTGAAACACATCTGTGACACCCGGTGTACAGTAGACAGAAGTCTTCTGTAATCAGCTCTTGCTAGTTTTCAGAAGTAGACTGTTTTTATGGCCTCTGGGTATCAGAAAGCCGCTTCAAACGTGTGGAGTCATCATCATGGTAGGACAGTGTCTGTTGCTGTGACCAGAGGAGACAAGGGCGCAGGTGAGGGGGGCAACAGCTGCAGCACGGAGAGTGGAAATTGCGTTGCGGGTATTGTCAAATAGGATTTGCAATGAGAAAGTAAATGCTCTTGTGTAGTTCTCGTTGCTGTCCCACTCAGTTTTAGTTTGGTATTTTGCACTAGCAGTTACTAAGTTGGTATAAAATAGTCCTGCTTGAGCAGGAGGATTTGACTAGATGATCTCTGGAGGTCCCTTCTAACCTTAACCATTTTATGATTCTGTGAAATGTTTGGAAAACTTTTCTCAGATTATTCTGAGGAATTCTGTGTTTCTAGAACCTGGAGCAGAAAGACTAAGCGTCTTCAAGCTCAACATTGAAAACAGTGGTACTTTATAGTGCAAGAGTTCGTTCTTATCATATTTGGCCTTGAAAGGATGTTTTTCTGTCTATTGCTTAGCTGACAAACTCTAGTGGCTCCACACTGGTCAGCTTTTCCAGAGGAAAGGAAAATACAGATAAAATGTTCAGTTGTTCACGGTTGTTCTCTGCAGGTGCTTCTGCCCGTCTCTGATGTCTCCAGTCTCCTGCAATGCCACAGACTCACTGTGAGAAGCACTGCCGGCTCTGCAGGGCGCCAGAGCCTGCTTCCCACCCCTTCTTTTCATCTGTTTCTTGTGGATCAGAGGGCTCTCCTCCTTGCTTATGCAGAGGGACTTAGATTTCTAAGAAAAAGGATTGGCTAGGATTTAGAAGCTATTTCCATCTGTTCTCAAACTAATACCAGGACTTCATCTTTATATGTCAGATTACCTGAATAATACTCTCTTCCAAGGCAGACAATTAAAAACTCAGTTTCCTGACATGTATTCTATATGCTGTGGTGGGACTGGATTGTTCTTTTTCCTTATTCACAGGTTATCTTTCTGCATGTACTTTGTTCTCAATAACATGTGTACATGGCCTTAATTTTCTTCGTTTTATAACCTTCATAAAGTTTTTTTTTTTCTCCTGTGTTCACGTTATCCTCAGCTGATGTTGACTCTGTTGCACCCCCAAGTTCTTCTCTTGGTACTAGTCGCTTTTTCCCTCCCCAGCCATTTACCTGCCCAGTGTATATATGTGTAAGATAGCTCGGCACGCCCTTGTATGTGGAGGATCAGTGGTGTCTGATGCCTGTCCAGCTTTTGGCTGTTCCTGGTTGCTCACCCTTTTGACAGCTATGCCATATTAGTTCTGCATTGCAGTTGTGAAAGATAGTGTTTTCCTGTGCTGCAGGAGAGTTACTTCAGAAAGAAATCCTACCCAGTATTTAAAACAGAATCACTAATAGCCTCAAGTGAAATCTCTAATCTTTGATTTTGTTCTTGAGGAATTTATTTCAAGAACAGTCTGAAGCACAAGTGTGGCCAAAACTAATTATTAAAGTAATAAAGCCATCTAAAAGGGTGAGATTGACTTAATGTAGGCATGCTTTTAAAAACAGGGGACACTGAGTATGTTCTACCCGTTCTGACAATGGGTTGCTCCAGTGCTTGCCCGCAGGCACTCTCTGTGCACCTGAAAGTTAAAAATACACTTCCCATTTCACTCTGCCAGCTTTGTGACGCAGAAGGAGGAACAGTCAGAAGGGAGATTCTGTCTGGCCAGTCCCAGGGTGTCACTACTCCCTTGGGGCACTAAAAGGAGCTGACAGCAGCAGTGCAGAGCTTTTCTGAAGCACACCCTCTTTGTTTTAGCTTACCAGCTATCAGTGCGTCTCCTTTCTTTTAGCTCACTGCTGCTC